ACAAAAGATGTAACAACAACAATAAAAAAGTTAAAATGGAAATGGTCAGGCCATGCAATTAGAGGAATGGAGAAATGGTCGAAATCGATAATGAACTGGTTCACAAATCATAAGAAAAGAAAAAAAGGAAGACCACTTCGAAGATGGGTGGACGACATTAGAGCCTTAGCAGAAGGCACATGGACGAGAACTGCTAAGGATAGACAGGAATGGAAGATGTCGATGAGTAATAGTTAAGTAAAAAAAAATTACAATAATTAAGATGTTACATACTGGAGATGAAAAACTATCCGAAATAAAGGCTATTATTATTATTATTTCTTTATTTCATTCTTTATACATATAAATTACATTTTTAAATATATTTATATACAAAAACAAAACATAAAATACATTTAAAAATATAAAAAATAGTATCCCATCGGTATCGGGTACAGAGACCAAGATATCGGTGGTTAGGACTCCAGAGACAGAAACTTCCTCACAATACGTGCCGTATCGAGAAGAACTGCTTTCTGCATCAGACCCTTAATCCAACTGCCTAACGCGAGCCTCTGAAGATGTTGGTCGAGGCTCTTAGCAACTAATCCATGGGCCGATATGACTATCGGTACAACGATTGCCGAATCAACATCCCTCATGTCGACAATCTCGTGGGCTAAATCCAAATACTTCACTTGTTTATCTTTTTCAGCTTTCAAGAGATTGTCGTCATGTGGAATGGTAATGTCAACAATCATTGCTCGGCGCTCCAATCGGTCTATTACCACTATATCAGGTTTATTGGCAACTATAGTCCTGTCAGTGATAATAGGGCGATCCCAGTACAACGTTGCACGACCATTTTCAAGAACTGGGTCGGGCACATATTTGTAGTACGGTAACTCTACAGTCACAAGGTTATACTTAAGAGCAAGTTGCTGATGGACAATCCTGGCCACTTGGTTATGTCTATGCAAGTACTCGCCGTTGGCAAGACGAGAACAACCGGAAATTATATGTCTAAGGCTTTCACCAGGACAATGACATGCCCGACAAATGTCTATTGTGCCGTCCTTCAGGATATACTTCCGATAATTATTCGTCATAACAACTTCATCAGTAATTGCAAAGACAAAACCTTCAGTTTCCCCGAAGAGGTCACCGAATCGAAGCCAGAATACAGACGCTAGTTGATCCACCTCAGGCCTGTTCAAGGCTCGATAAAAACGTCCATGCAGCTCTTTGCCCTTCCATATCTCCTTACGATCAGTAAAGTTGAGTACTGCAAATTTGCGCCAGTTCTCTTTACCTAGACCAAGCGGAGTGAGTCCGTTATCAACTGCTACTACATCCCTATGCATATCCACATCAACAGACAGGAAGTAATTCCTAAGGTTACATATCTCACGATTGTGGAGGGTCTTGGCATTTAGAAAACCACGACCACCACATTTTCGTGAAATATATAACCTCATCACCGATGAACGTGGATGATGCATTCGGTATACAGTAAGCAATGTACGAACTCTTCTATCCAGGGTATCTAGTTCAGTCTGAGTCCATCTAAGTATGCCAAAAGAGTAAGTTAGAACTGGTATGACCCAATCATTATAGGCTCTCACCTTATTACCACCTGATAAAAGACTATTTAATACTTTTTTCAGGCGGCTAAAGAAGCGTTCCTGTAACGATTATTTCATGGTCAACTCATTTACACCTAACGCCTGTGACATACCCAGATATTTGTAAGTTTCGTTAGCTGAGAGACATGTAAAGTGCGTGGAATCTGAGAGTTCCAACCTATCAGATTCCACAACCTTGCCTCTTTTTACATGCATGATTGCACACTTATCTACACCAAATTCCATCCTGATGCATTTACTAAAGGTTTTAGTTATTTCTAGTAAATTCATCAGTATGGAACTACTGGAAGCAAACAGTTTTAAATCATCCATGTAAAGGAGGTGGGATATAACCTTACCATCTCTCTGCAAACGATAGCCTAGCCCTGAACCCTCCAACATAGTGCTGAGAGGATTTAAAGCTAAGCAAAACCACAAGGGACTTAAACTGTCACCCTGAAATATACCCCGCCTAATCATTATATATTCGCCATCACCTTGAGATTGCCGACATCCTGGATAGCAAAGAACCGTTCTCCATTGCCGCATACATGTCTCCATAAAAGTGCATAGAGTTGTATCAATCTTGTACAACTCCATCACCCTCAAGAGCCACGTATGCGGTACAGAGTCATAAGCCTTTTTATAATCTATCCAGCATGTCGACAGATCTTTTCGGTTACGACGAACTTGTTGGTTAATAGTCATGTCAATAATAAGGAGCTCTTTAGTGCCACGTGCCCCACCTCTACATCCATTCTGAGAGTGAGATATAATAGAGTTGTTCGTAATATGAGATGTTATCTTCACTCTAAGAATGGACGTTAGTAATTTATATAACGTCGGAAGACACGTTATTGGCCTATAATTTTTGGGATCCGTGGCACTACCAGATTTATAGACTAGGTGAGTTAGTCCAGTAGTCATAAAAGATGGAAGCGAACCTGATTCTAGGCATGATTGAAAATGAGATGCCAAACGTACATGTGAGCTACGAAGCCACTTTAACCAAAAGTTATGCAGTCCATCCGGTCCCGCTGACTTCCAATTTGGTAGCGAACGAACTGCATAAGCTATATCCATATCTGAAATTGATACTGGCTCCATTGTATTGATTGACTCACACGATCGTTCGACATCTCGCATCCATTCACCCTCTGTGTGAGTGATAGGCATCGACCATATGTTACGCCAAAATGTATTAGTAATTTTAACATCTGGAAAATGTCCATCACTCACTAAATCAGGCTGCGCCCACCGTCTATAAACCCACCTCTCGTCCCTTTGGAATGTGCGATTCTGAGTATATCGGTCCACTCTTTTTTTATACCTTCGTATACGGTTTGCCCATGCATAAACCTTCTGTTTCAGAAAGTCAATGCGCTCTGTGACTCGTGCCATATAATCACAGAACCTGATACCAGTTCCCGAAAAAGCCTGATTCACAAAGCGCATTACTCTCGGGCGTGTGTTGCCCGATCTGAAACAGATAAGCTTGCCAATGAGTACCCTTGCCTCAGCGATACGACGTTCAATTCTATACTGCCACGACGGCACCAGAGACTTAGGTCGAGGAGACATGTCAACTCTTGAGAATTTGACACCAGCTACTCGACATGCAGTAACGGCCGCACAATATAGAATTGAATGTGTATCACTGAGGTTTTCACATTTTTCAAAATATGGTGGTAATATAGAATCAAGGGCACACACTAACGCCTTATTTCGCTTATGCATCGGCAAACGAGGTAAACGTGGTCTGTTTACGAAATTCATGGACCCATATTCCAGGATAGCACCTTCCAAAGTATTCCTTATTATATCATTGTACTGGGTACTTACAGAAGAAGCATCAATTTCCTCTCCTTCAGCAGGAGAAGCCTGTGGTATTTCGGGATCTTGATGCGTGACTGCTTGTGAAGAAGGAAAAGTAGTGAGGCTTATCTGTAAGTCGGAGCGTAGCCTTTCAAGTACAGAGCTATTCAACAAATTACATCGCTTAATAGCTCGCACTTGATCCGATAACCTTTGCACCGTAACGTTAACAGTTGGTTCAAGTTCCTGAAACAGAGTTAGTAAACGATTACGATACGCAGTGAGATTAGTTTCACCCTCTGTAGCCACAAAATATGCTCGCATGACGTTCTCGTTCATTGAAGAAGTCCATTTCATGCGACGCACATTACCACCGATAGCGGGGGCCCTATTCGAAGCCGATGGGCCTCGGGATCCCAGGCAAACCGGTGGCCGACCTCTCCCCTGCCGACGTACAGGTGTTGGCGACGTTGGCGGGGAGAAAAACTCGTCGCTTGAAGTCGAGCTCGACGCCTCTGTAATCACCGGGACTTGTGTTGTGACTTCCGGGGACTGCACGGCGGAGCGAAGCGACGAGTCCGGAGGTGTTAAACGTGCTCTGCTGGCTCTAGCTCTTGTAATCATTAACAAACAACAGTAGAATTTCTAAGAAAAAGATCTTGCTGTTTATTTGACATGACATTAAATGTCATTTCTCACGTATATTTTTTACCATTATAGAGTTATTTTAATCGAGTTTTGAGTTTTAGTACTCAACTAAAACTCAAAACTCGATTAAAATAGTTAGTTAGTTTTATTATTATTATTATTATATAGTATCTAATTAGATAATGTACATGAGTAACTATTTCCTAACGATTACGTTAGTATTTTAAATACCAAAGTGGTAAAAAAGTAAAATACGTATTTTACTCTCTCTTACATTACGTATTTTACAACTCTACTACTAGGGAATACGTTATCAATGAATAGACTCTTCTAGAATTATGTTAAAAATGTAGTCTGTTTAACAGTGGCTAAGTATTAAAATAATTTCTGAAGTATTTCTCAGTAAATTTGCGTTTTAAAAGCAAGAAATCAATTTAAAAACACAAACAAAAAAGGGAACAAACCAAAACAAAGTAAATAACAATATTTTTTACACAGCACGTTAGAACAAAGCAGATATTTCACTTAACGTGTTAGAGCTGACCTTGCAGCGGTACAACACTCGGCGCCCTCCTCGGGCGCCCTCCCGTCTTTTTCCGATGTTTAGAAATTACCCCTCTGATACTTAAAATATCATTTTGGTGCCCTTCTTCGTTGACGCAGAGTTACATAGCGCGTACTATACGACACGAAGTGCAACGCGATCTTATGACACGCTCAACTAGTTTAAACCCGTGGTTTAAACTAGTTGAGCGTGTCATAAGATCGCAAACCGATTCAACTCGATTCATTCTCAAACCGGTTAAAATCGGTTTAGAAGTCGATTGTCACACCTCTTGTCCTGTCAATCACCGATTGATAAATAACCTCAAATACACTTAGTGTCAAAACATTTCAATTCATATTAAAATTATAAACACCTAAATAAAAATTATGGCTGGAACTCTGTTCCGTAAGTATCATTAATCATTACAATCTAAACAGTATTAATAATGAACGCATAATTTAATGCCATTTATATACTGAACACTGTTTCAGGTACCTTGTTCAACAGTACTTTAACATTTTACAAATGTAATACTACAAATTTGGTAAGTATGACAGTATTATTTAAGACTGCAATATAATTTAAAAAGTCTTACCTCTTCGGGATACATAAATGTATGTTTTAAAGGAAGTCTAAACTTAAATAACCTTATTCATTTTAGAGAACATTGCACACTGCACCGGTATCTTTTGCTGCTCGCAAAGGTACCAGAGCCAAGGCCCGTGCTAAGAAAGTAAAGGTTGAAGTTACAAAAGTAGGTTTTATTCCACACAACCAAAGAGGAAGAGATAAGTAAGTTTTTTTCACCATGTCAGACTATCTGCACCCCCTGGTGTTAACAGCGGATGTTGTTGTATCTTGCTATCGTGATAAGCCTATATGCTATTCCAGACTATAATCTATCCCTGTGCCAAGTTTCATCCAGATCCATTCAGCCGATAAAATTAATAAGATGACAATCATATCCAGAATGTAGGCCAGATGTTAAAATGAATGTGTATAAAAAAACCTTACACATCTCACACATGGCTGTCTGATCCCATACTAGGTAGAGCCTGTACTATGGGAACCAGACTACTTATAAACATAATTATATATTTCTAAATATATGCATATTATAGATAAATTAGACCCAGACACATTAGAAATTATCATGCTTAGGCATGATAGGAAGCGAACCCACAAGCTAACCACTAGACCAGGGATTCCCAAACTATTTAAGGTTAGAGACCCCTTTTCTAAAATGAACTGATAGCTCAAACCCCCATAGCCAAATAACAGTACTCTTATCAACTAGTTCAGTTTTTTAAAGTACTATAATGATACTTCTTTTTTAAGTATTAGTCATTTTTATAACAAGTTGGTACATGTAACACAACTAATATAGTATCTTGAAAGCTTCAAATAAGAACTGATGTTAATTAATGAAGGATTGATTTTTAGACATCATCGACCCCCAATATCAGTTTTAGTTTATGTCGACCCCAGGGGAACCGATTTCGACCCCAAGTGGTTGATATCCATCACTTTGGGAATCCCTGTAGGAAACCAACAGCAGCTCTAGAAATTGATTATGATAAAGTAGCTATTGAAACTTTAGACATGAAGGCTGTGAAGACGAACTATTACGCCTGGACCAACAGTCTAGCCACAAAGAATTTGTTTATCATCCTCCATCCTCTACACCTACCTCTTTGCCCATTAAATTTTGAAAGATTTAGAAAGTTTATGGTGAAAACATAAAATAATTGTCATTGCTTGCTTTTTACGCACATAAGTGGCAAAAAAGTAATAAAGATTATTTATTATTTTTATTTCATAATTTATTAACCTCTGAAATGCCGCTACACTGTACAGTGCTTACCGTTGAATCTTTACAGTGTAGTGGCATATCAGAGGGGCGGCATGTGAAGAGTTAATATCAAGAAAAATATCCAATTTCAGGACTATAAAATCAACTGTAAGCAAACACGCCGATGATATATTCAAGCCTACATCTAATGATGATGTGTATCCACTCAAATACTACCGTTGGGTTGTCTACACCGCTGAACAGGCAGTTGAGGCTCACAGACAGACACACCATCCTACCATGTACAATGTACCTGATGCTCTAGTCTCTGCCCAGATTGAGTTTAATATGGAGGCTGCGAAGAAGGTTTAATTTAATATTTCAAAATTATTAATAGGAATAAAGACTTGACACATCACACACACATCACACACACACACACACACACACACAGCTGTCCATATGCGGTCTAGGTCTGTCTAAATTAAATATGAATTCCATATCGATATAGATATAAAAGTTTTGTTGCTTTGTGTACACTCAAAAAGTTCTTTCTGCAACGTTTGAGATTAAATGTTGACATGACAACATGCTTCAAAGATGGTTTTTATCTATTTTTTACAACCGCAATGTGCCAGAACCAAGTATGGCTGGGTACACCTAGTTAAATATAAAAAGAGATCTCTATAGTTAACATATAACTTACTGACAATGGGCAAAGACGAAACTTACTTGCAATAAATCTTTTATTCCCTTGTGTTACAGAACCGTTACTTGGACAGCTTCACCCGCCTGTCTCTACTTCCTCACATATTCCCACGTGATGAAGAGCGCACCATCCTTGCATTCTGTAAGAGCTCTGAGTTGATCAAAGAAGCAACTGATGCAGGAGCCACTTTGGCTGGTGGAACTGACCTTATTAAGAAAATTCAGGTATGTATATTTAGTGAATCACAAATTCTTCATTAAACTGTGCCAAGCATTAATCTTAGGTAGAAAGGTGTCTCCCATCTTATTACACTGTTAACCATTTAAGATATGTCAGTCATACAAATAAACTAAAAGAATCTAACTACAATAAGATGTAAATCATATAAAAAATATAACCAAGATCTTATTCTGATTCTACAAATAGATTTTATATTATTTATTATTTTAATTTTATCTGACCCCTCTATCAGACACCCTGGATAATAAGTCAAGTCTTAATATCAACAAACGATGCTGAATTTGTAATAATGATCTGTCAGAAGTGTGACAAAAGAAAAATATTAACATGTGAATAAAAAGCATAAATAATAACAAAAAATTACTTTACTAAATAATTATTACAGGTCACCTGACCAGATAACATTTTGACAAATTAATTTTGGTTTACAGGATGGTCAAATCAAGCTTAGTGATTTTGATTACATAGTGGCTCACCCAAACATTCTGACTGACCTTGTACCCATCCGAGGATTGATGAAGAGGAGGTTCCCTAGCTTGAAAACTCACACCCTCGGCCCTGATCTTAAAGATATAGTTAGGAAGTTCTCTGGTGGTGTTCAGTTCAGAGTAAAAAAGGATGAAAATCAACAAAATTATGGTTTTGTCGAAATACCTGTTGGAAGGGTGCGTAAAAGTTTTGCTGTATGAATTTTAAGAGAGACACTGAGAAATCACGGACTGATTCGCTGGAATTGATACCAATTTGATTACAACTGCCACTTAATAAAAAAGATTCGGAATGTGCGGGTTGTTGGCAATCCCTCCTCAGTACATTATTTGACATATACTCACTCCCGTATTCACTAAGGTTTAGACAGAGGTGTATTAAACGCTCACAATTTGCCGCCTATAATTTTAGTACGATTTAGGTCCGGGATTCTCAAAGTGGTCGATGTCGACCCCTTGGGGTCGAAATCGGTTTTCCAGGGGTCGAACGAAAATTGATATTGGGGGTCGACGAGGTCTAAAAATCGACCCCTCATTAATTAACACAAATTCTTATTTGAAACTTTCAAGATACTGTATTAGTTGTGTTACGTGTACCAACTTATAAAGTTGACTAAAATTTTAAAAGGAAGTATCATTATGGTACTCTTAAAAAACATTACAAGTCTATAAGCGTACAGTAATTTAGCTACAGGGGTCTGAGGTATCAGTGTATTTTAGAAACAGGGTCTCTTACCCAAAATAGTTTGGGAATCCCTGGTTTAGGTTATAAAAGTCAAGTCTTTTGCACCGGACTTCAACCGGCTGCTTCAGGAATTGTACGTACATACTGGTTATTTCTGAAAAGCCTAGGCCATTAATCAATATTATATCATATCAATATTATATAACATTCGACCACATTCACAACGCCATGTAGTTGCAAAGTAAGCAGAACTTACTATGGGTATTAGATACTCAATATAAATACATACATGTTATACATTATTTGACATAGCATCAAAACAATATTCTGTTTTCAGTTAAATATGGAACCAAAACTTGTGGCGGAAAATATAGACGCTCTTTTAAAGGACATACAGTCGGCACGGCCTAAACGAGATGGCCTTTTTATCACAAGGCAAGTAATATTATTATTGAATTTATTTATCCTTCTTACAGAACATAGTACAGATATAACATAGAGCAGATATTATGTCGTAGGCATTTTCTGCCGGTCAACCATAGATGGCAGCAGAGATGTGGTTGTCCAGTGTGTGTGGTGGGCAGATGTATATTTAAGTCATATGACAGAACAATAAAAGAATAATAATAATAATATATAATATTCTAATCTACCACATACACACAACGCCATCTAGGCCCAAACTAAGCAGAGCTTGTACTATGGGTACTAGACAACTGATATAAATACATATATACTTTTTTTTTTGTAAATACATACATATTATACATAGAAACACCCAGACCAAATCAAACATCAAATGTTCATGCACACAAATGTTTGACTTGAGCGGCAATCGAACCCGCGACCTTTGGAATAGCAAATGAATGAATGTGTTTAAAATGTGTGTCATATAAATATATCTTTATAATAAACACATATACAATACAAACGAAAAGCCGTCCTAGATTGACGTTTCCATTATTAAAACTAGAGTGTCAGGCTTAGAATGCACTAAGAGCGAAGCCACATGGTGCGGTATGGAGCCGGAGCGGTGCCGCTACGTCATCCTAAATACAGATAACTATACCATGTCACACGAGGCGATGGGCACCAGCGCACCGGGCTTGGCAGGACGGTGGGACTGGCAGGGAGGGGTAATACGAGGTTCCGCCACCGCAGTATTGTTAGTGTGTCGAACGTGAATAATTGTGTGCTACAATAATTTAACATTTTTCTTTCATAGGATGAATACCGATGGCCTAGTGGTTACGCCAAGTGTTGTGGGTTCAAACCCCACAGGGGACAACGCTTTGTGTGATCCACAAATTGTTGTTCTGAGTCTGGATGTTCTTTGTGTCCGTTTCATGTATGTTTGTGAAGTCCCCGCGACACAGGATTTATTCTAGTCTTTTTTTTTTAAATACCGAGAATAATAGTAGCAATAAAACATGTTTCTTTCGTATCTCCATAGTCGTTAACAGACTGAAGTAACCCATGACTTTGCGGCGTCGCGCTGTACTGTGATAAACAGCGGTGCACTGCGGTGCACCGCACCTCACGTGTGACACCCTATGCTTCGTATTCATTACAGTGCGGCACTGCACCACACCGTCAATGCCTTTTGAGATCTTGCTCTTACGTTTAGCCGTCATTTGGATTGCTATTGCGGCTCGCCGCAGTATATACGGTCAGCCTCAACGGCACGCCGTATTCCAGCTGACCGCGTCGTTTCGCTTCTATTGCGATCGGCCGCAATCGTCAGGGATTCTAGAAGAATTGGACATGTATATACATAGGCGTTCATTGACTTCTAAAATGAACTTTTCCGTTTCAACATGCATGGCAATTCAGAATAACTACCCCTACCTACCGTATTTCTAGCGACTGAATGGTTCGGGAAGGGGCGCCTGTGACTGACCACGTCTAATGCGTTTGAACGAAATGCGAAATTATTAATCACATCATCATCATCACATCAACAGCCTTTAATAGTCCACTGCTGGACATAGGCCTCCCCTTAGAAAGGAGGTTTTGGCCTACTATACCACGCTGGCCAGACGAATGAGTATAGGGTTTGTTTCAAGTTTTCCTTCTCTCTGCAGTGTTGTTGTCCTGCGTAGTTTTCTCCCTTAATCGCCTCTTACGACACCCACGGGATGAATAGGGGTCGTGACACTCTGTATTCTTAATCCGTCACCACACGGACATTTATTAATATAAGACTTTAATTTACAGATGTTTAATAGTAAGCCCGCCTTCACCCGAGAAATTGAAGATTGATCCATTTGTACATGTCAGCAAAACACTATCAAAGGAAGTCCAAGAGGACAGCGATGATGAGGGTGAAGCTGTAGCCGCTACGGCTTAGTACGGAGATTAGTTTTAGGATGTGCTGTAGTATATTTTTAGTTATATGAAATGTGAAATAAATAATATGAAAGTCGTGCAATACTATTATTCTTTCCTTTTTGTGAACGCATCCAAAATGTTGGCAGCAAACGTCATGTTTGTTCACGACGGCGAAATCAGGGTGTGTTCAGAAACTAAAATATAGGCTTTATGCGAACTAAATAAAAAAATACCTACTAAATTAGCAAATGAATTCTTCGTGACTAATATGGTAAAAATAATAGATTTAACGTGGAATGCAATATTTTTGGTTACATAATTAGCTGACTACAAAATTAAATTGAAAGATTCGAATCTGTGGGTTCCAACAGAATGATTTAATTGGTGGTGTAAATTGAAACTTACAAGTTTGTGATATTAAATTCTTTTCTAGTCAAATTTTCTCGTAAAAGAGAGAAAAAAAAACTGCACCTGAAGTGGATGTGACTTTTCTAAAAAACTTGAACTCATCAACCATATGTTCTGAACGCACCCAAGAGGGGCGTAAAACAATCCGCCATTTTGTCTGTATGATAATTTAGGATTTTATTAGTTTGAAACCAGTGTAAATCTAATTAATCTCTGTTTAGAACTTAAGTTCTGGAAACTGTGCAGTGTTTTAAAAAACTGTGATAATTGTGTCTCCAGTTATTTTTTGTTTACGTTTCATCTTGACGTTTTATAGTTGACCGATTTTGACGTCGATTAGAAGAGAGCTCTAGATAAAGCAAAATGGGCACAAGAGAGGACGAATACGATTATTTGTTCAAAGGTAGCGTAAATTTCATTATAAACTTTATATAACCCCTGTACTATTGTTGTTTACATTGAGATATTTGATTGGATATGCAACATTCAAAACCATTGTTTCATCTCATAATGACGTAGGAAAAAGTAAACGATTATATTTTTCCCCTCGTTTTGAATAATAGCTTCATAATTTTAAGTTTTTAAGGTATTATACTATGTAATATTGATATATTCTATCATTTAACTGTGTAACAATAAACTTATTTAACATCAGCTGATTGAGTCATATCGATCGATTTCTCGTAAATTTGAGTTTTTTGTGAGTCACCTTCCAATATAGTCATGATCTAACCGTTAAATGTTACCTTTTACTGAATATAAAGTTACGATGTAATGATTGTTTTGTTGTTTGTAAAGTTGAGTGTCGTTTCTTTGTTTCAGTGGTGCTAATAGGTGATTCAGGGGTCGGTAAAAGTAGTCTGCTGTCACGTTTCACTAGAAATGAATTTAACTTAGAGTCAAAATCGACAATAGGGGTGGAATTCGCCACAAGGAGTATAGAGGTAAATATAATTTTTGTATTGTTTGATAATGTAGGTACTTAAATTATAGTAATATAATGTCAATAACATTGACTGATGTTATTTTGAAGGCATCTTTTTATCAGTTGTATCTACATTCTTTATTAATAGGTGTACAGAAATAATAATACGAAAATTATAGTAATATTTCCATAAATTGACACAAAGAAGTCTTTTGTTACTATTTAGTAGATAGAAACTGTAAATAAGTTTAGAAATAGCAGACTGGATGTACAATAACTCAATTTCTTTACAGAAATACCTATTTATTTTAATTTGTTTTAATGTGTGTTTACATTTTATTATCAACTTTTTTTATTTTTCTATGGTTACTATTATATATTATTATCTTTTGGTATTTCTATCTAAAACACACAAAGTATTCAAACAATCCATTATTTGTAGGTAATTATGAACAGAATTTTGATGATGTTATCTTAAATACCGTTTTATCCTTTACTATTTTACATTGTTTTATACATATATTTATAGTATATTAGTGATGTCATTCCTTGCATATAGGTAAAATAGACACAATTAAATTTTCATATTCATAGTCTCTATTAGTTAAGTTTTTACAAAGGCCTCCTCCAGTTATTTCTAAGTCTTCTCTTAATTTTTTTAAGTAACTAGTAAGTACTATGATAGAGTAACAACAGAACAATAGAAGTATTTAGAACCATAATTGGAATAATTAATAGGGATTAACCTAAAAACCTAATTAGAAAAAAGAAAACAGAGCTCAAATCAATATGTAATTTGTTTACACTTCTAGTAGAGGTTTAGTAAGGTATTTTAATTATTTATACTCTGTGCTTGAGTAAATGGAACAAGGTAAATAGTCTTATAAATGGTAACCTGAAAGAGATTGCTTTTGGCAATGAAGCCACCCTTTGTACATTACCAGTTGACGTAATTATATGTAGTACCTGAAAGACCGAGCTTTGATCAGTATTTTTTTTTTGATTAATCTCCCCTGTAACCCCTTGCATACTAAATTTCATGAAAATCGTTGGACCCGATTCCGAGATTCAGATTATAAATATACAAGAAAATACAAGAATTGCTCATTTAAAGCTATTACATAATACTTTCACTGTAATAATAGTATATTAGATATAATCATTCTATAATTCTTTTACTATAAGCTTTTGATTAAAGCTATCTATTTCAAACTAGCCACTATCTATTTTACCCGTCCGGCCAGCGTGGTATAGTAGGCCAAAACCTCCTTCCTAAGGAGAGGCCTATGTCCAGCAGTGGACTAGTAAAGGCTGTTGATGATGATGATGATGTTGATGATTTCAAACTAACACTGTTATTTACGAATAATAACATAATTACAAAGTAAGTATAACAAAAACATTTCATTGTTATAATTGTTTGCATTGGCTGTCTTTATTAGTCCGTCAGTCCCTCTGTGATTACAGCCAGTGAAGTCTCGTTGGCAAGTCAGTCCATTTAAAAGTATTTCATACATACTAATGTGGTATTCCTTAGTAATAATTATATATCATGCAACAGTTTAAAAGTTAGAACAATGACATTGTTACCGTTTACCTTATTCAGGTGATATATATCTATATACTAATATTATAAAGCTGAAGAGTTTGTTGAACTACTGGAACTTTGAACTACTGGTCCGATTTGAAAAATTCTTTCAGTGTTAGATAGCCCATTTATCGAGGAAGGCTATAGGCTATATATCATCACGCTAAGACCAATAGGAGCGGAGCACCAATGAAGAATGTTTCAAAAACGGAGAAAATTTATTACTATTGAGACACGCAGACGAAGTTGCGCGGGTCAGCTAGTTTTAAATATTTTTGCTTACTTATCTTAACTAACTATGAAATTTGACTAGGCTTTTTTATCTAGTAGTTAGTGATGATAACTGCTGAGTCAGAGGTGGGATTGATAGGAAAAAGAATTGTGTGTTGAGCATGATCATTTGTTCTATATCTGGGAGTCATTAATCTGTAAAATGTATGTATTTTAAAATATATAAGTATGTTTATTAGTAGTCTGGTCACCATAGTACGGGCACTGACTAGTTTTAGATTAAAGAGTGTGTGTAAGATTAGACAAGTTATTATTATTAAAGCGTATCAAATAAATATATGTGGATGAATAGATTAGCTATAGTAATCTATATTATCTTGATATAGTCATGAAAAAACAAAGAATCATGTATTTATGAGTCATGGTAGATGTGTTTATGTATTGCACTACACTCTTAAATGTCATAGCGTAATATTGCATTGCCAATATCAGTTATTTCTCGTTCCAAATCACAAAGGAATTATTTAAATTGTGATAGTTAAAGATTAGTGCATTGAAAACAACACTACAAAAATACTCTGTATTCATGTTGTATTAGTATTTATTGGTTGGATTTAAGAGTTGACAAAATTATTTAAATCTTGAAAAATCATGATCGAGGACCAATAATAATTATAAGGGATAATTCCCTTTTTTTGCCCAATATTCAATCGAATGGAAGAACAATGAAGAAGCCACTTGTGATCACAATTGATAAAGTCCTGATAAAGAAATCTATGAAGATTTGACTATTTGCTTGTGTCCCACTTCCTTTACTTCTACATTACTAAAGCCATGAGAGGGCAGTTGTTCACCGTGGAAGTGCTTTGCTTTGGCACAAATGTGCCGACTCGACTAGAGTGATGACACAGCCTCTCGAAAACCAGTGTTAAAAACTTATTTCCTTCCGTTGCACTGAATTAGAGGTTACCGGAGTTCAAACACCCTCTTTTCCTATTGTGTGGTGGGAAGACTCAATGAGCGGGCAACCCACTTGTGATTATTAAGCTTGAGGTATCTATGTGCGGCAGTTATCACCTATTACCAAGTGACCCATCTGCTCCTTCCCCCAATACCATAAAAAAAGCAAATTACCTTCAAAATATTCGATCCATGCTAAACATGTTAACTTAACCATAGTTAATTCAATTTGTTCCTTTAATTTTCATTGGGCCGTGAACAGGTGTCCATGTTTCTAAGTAGGGATTAAGAAAACGTAACGGCTTTAAGAAATCCTAACGTCACTCATTTCTAATAACTTGACACAGATAATGATGTTAATTACAGATATTTTTGTACCATTCAAGTTACAATTAAACAGCTTGCCTGATAAGAAACAATCAAATGTATTGTTCTAAGATTAATTTGTATTAAAATCAAGATATCAACTTATCTGATAAAATGTAATTATTAATGTCAATGACTTAATGTGCAGTACTAAACTGTAGGGTGCAGAAACATTTACATATTTCTTTAATTATAATAATACCTTTACACATCTTACACACAGCCATCTGATTCCAGGCAGACCCTGTGCTTTGGTAACCAGACCGTTGTTAAACATACTTATTCTTATAAAAAAGACAACACCTGCATTAGGAATAAATCCTGTGTCGCGGGGGACTTTACAAACATACATAAAACAGACACAAAAAACACCCAGACTTAGAACAACAATTTGTTAGTTGCACAAAGTGTCGTCCCATGTGGGGATGGGACCCACAACACTCAGCGTAGTAGTAAGTGGCGTGGCGACCGCTTAAACCACTACGCCATCCGTGCAGTCTAATATATATTTCTAATTAATACATATTATAGACAAATAAAACCCAGACACAAAACCAATTTGTGGAACGGGTTATCGTCTGCGGTATTTCCGCAAGTATACCTTGAAGAAAAGAGTGTACTCCTTCCTAAAAGGCCGGCAACGCGTTTGTGACGCCTGAGTTGCAGACGTTCATGCACTTTCTTTGAAGTGACCTGTCTGCTCGTCTGCCCCCTCTAACATAGGAAGCGAGCTCATCACACAATTATTTGTCCTGGGTGGGAATTGATCCCACGGCCAGTCAATTAATTATAAAAGTTATTCTTAAGTATTTTGTTATTATTCTGTTCAGTTTTAATTTTCTTTGTTTATTTTTGTTATTACTGTTTATTTTTGGTCTGATTGGTGCTGCTGTTATGTTAGCCTTTTCTTACCTGACCTTGGTTGTGATAGAGGGTGGTTGCTATGTGTAAACATGCTATGTGTTTGTATATTGTGTATGTCTCTGGACTTCAATTATGTTAAATTTAACATTTTATGTTGCACCTACCGCATCATAATTCTACATCACCTGAAGGTTGACTGGAAGAGAATGCCTCATGGCATTAAGTCCGCCTTTGTACAGCATGTGCATTAATTTTAAAATAAATAAATGAACATTCAACTTTAACTTAATTCTAGGGATTACTTTCTGTCATTTCTTTTTAGAAACATGACAAACAAAATGAAACTTTGTCGTGGTAACAAGGACTATTTTAGTTCAAAAATAGAAATCCTTTGTAAAAACAGTTGAACTTCAAATAATACTAACAAAGACCATTAAAACCTAGCAGCAATCGCGGTTGATTTGCTGTCATTTTTTAAGAGTTCCGTTGTCTGTGTCCGAAACCCATCATCATATCTATATGAAAATTAAAAAGGACCATTTCGGAATAAACCTCTTTCGAACAAAAAATAATTTTGAGAATCCTTCTAAATATGACATACATAAAAAAAGACATCCGCATTGATCAACCTCCTCCTTTTTGAAGTCGGTTAATAAGCCATCACTTTAGCTTGTAATTCCAAATTAATAATAAAATTTAAGAACTATGCTTCGGCACAAATGGGCAGCCTGGTTCGTAGTGTTATCACGACCTTATAGAAATCTTGAGTAAACAATTCTTTTGTTGCTAAACACCTCCCTTATTCTGGGGGGACAGAAAGGGCGGCAACGCGCTTGTGACTCTTGAGTTGTAAATGTGCATCGTTTGCCACCCTTTTGCCATAAAAATAATTCACTTACACACTTTAACCATGACATTGTATAATTTATTAGAATACAAACAAGTTATCATCATCATCATCATCAACAGTCCTTTACTAGTCCACTGCAGGACATAGGCCTCTCCTTAGA